AGATGGTAATAAGTTGCCAGATATATAATTTATTTAAGTGAGCAAATGTTTTCGGTTATCAACCTTTCTCATATATATATATATAAAGTCACTTTCATATGTGTATGTAGGACTACTACCAAACATGGTTAAGATGGTGATGGCTAGCTTCTGCAACACAGGCCTTGTATTAATAGCAATGTCTGTGCACCAAAATTCTATCGTCGTCATTGGATACCGAGTTATCAACGCTTACTGCTACTTCACAGCAATAATAGGACCAGAGAAAAACAGTGTCCATCAATCAATTTATCTTCTGCACTATATCATAATGCGCAAACCCTACCAAGGAACATGGCTCAGGGTTTCTATTTTATTATTATTTATTTATTTTTTATTTTATTATTTTATTTTTATTATTTTATTTTATTTTATTTTTTATTTTGGTCTTCACTTATTAAAATTGTTATTAATTTTTTATTTTATTGATTAAAAAAAATCATCAATAATTTCTAATGTTCACCCTTTATACCATTGTCATTTTTGTTATGATCACTATATTATGATTATTATACTTATTTCTGTGATCATTATTATGAATAATATTATAATTTTACTTACTTCTGTGATCATTATTATGAACATTATTATTATTATTATTATTATTATTATTTATTATTATTATTATTATTATTGTTTATTATTATTGTTGTTTTTATTGTTATTATTGTTGTTCCTGTTATTATTATATTATTATTCTATGCTTCTATGGTAGTTGACACTTGTACAGGGAATATCTCCCTTTGTTAACTACCATCTCATGTGAGGAAATAAAATTATGAATTATATAATTTTTTTCACGCTTGCCAGATTAAGTGGCCCTGCGGGCCGCCTATTAAGAACCAGGGATATATGTTCTACAGTCGATGTCAGAGACACATTATGCTTTTATGTATCAACAAAACTCTTTTTCGTGTTCCCTGAAACTGTATATTTTATACGTATATCAAATATATTTATTGGAATTGCATTTTTTCGAAATTATCATGGAAACAAGTTTTGATCACAGCTTTATTTCATGAGGAAGACATTAGACTTCTGTATCTCAGCCTTATGTATCGTTGTCACGATTTATAATACTACGAGCAATCATAATCACAATTGTTGCAATAAAAGTACCAGTAGTAATAATAATAATAATTTAAGGTCTATTGATGTAGAAGTATCTGTGTCAAGACCATTGGTATGAGTAGGTTGTGTGCTTCCATATCCAATGTTTGTTAGGTATTTGGTTATTACTGATCCATTCAGAGTCATAAGATATGGATGATGATTCATAATTTTCAATACACAAGTATAGATTTCCTTTGTCATGTCAACTTTGATAGGAACTCTCTTTATAGTCCAAATATTGGTTAAATTTTCTTTTAAATCAAGTTCCTTCCCATTGATTGATAAACTGGGGAGTGGCCATGTCTTCTCCGACATACAGAATATCTCAAGTTGATTTTTGTTTACGTTCAATCCTACCATGAAATAGTCTTTTGATGGTATTTCAATTATATTCAGTACTGTTTCTGGAGGTGTGTAATTACCATACATGATTGAATACCTTCCTTTATCAAGGCGTTGAAGAGGATCAATCCTCAATGAAAACATTCCCTTTTCTTCATTAAATGTGAAGCGATCATCACGATCATCAACAATGTTCCCATCTTTCAGCCACTGTACAAAGTTCTTTTCATTTCCAGGGATGAATGTCTTCAGGATGTATGTTATTGTAGTATATTTTCCTTCTGTACCATTTATAATTCTATTCCCACTGTAAAAGATGTCTTTTGTTGATGCGTTGCTATAGATATAAGTTAAAAGGGAGCTGAATACCAGGCATTTTGAGATTATAGCTGTTGATGAACAAATAAATTAATTCATATAGTATATAATCATTGAAGACCACTTTATTTTCAGTCACTAATATTCAAGGGCAAACCTGGATTCAAAAGCTTTCCATAGCCCTCTAAATTTTGAAAATTTCAAGAAAAAGAAAAGAAAAGTTATATTCAAATTCAAATTTAAAAATACTTTATTATCCAAAATAATATTATAAATTATAAAACATTAAAACATTTAAGTACAGTACTGATATGAAAGACAGTTGTTAAGAATAAGATCAAAAACATGCAAAATGAACAGTGAAAAATGACAACACAATACTATATGTTCCCCTTCCTGTAGGCCTATGTAATGATGCAAACTTTAAAAAAAAAAACAAAAAAAAAAACTTGTTTAATTTTAACTTTTTATTAAATTTAACATTTTATTTTATAACATTTTATTAAATAATTGAGTTTATCTATTTATGTTTTCATTGAACAATCTGAATGCAGTTGGAATAAAGGATTTTCTATAGCGTTCAGTGTTAGGCTTTATCTTTAAAAGTAATCTTGAGCTGAAAGGACTTGCTCGGAAACTGTTAAACAAGGGATGAGTTTCATCTTTTAGAACACTTCGGGCTTTAGAGACATTTTTTTCTTTATAAATAACATCAGGTGATGAAACTTGTTGGCCTATAATCTTACTAATAGCTTGTTTAGTGATTCTATAAAACAGTTTCTTATCAATCTCTCTAAAAGAATTGTAGAAAAAAACCATACAAAAAGTCATAATACTTTGCACAATAGATTTAAAAAACAGTGAAATTAATATCATTGTCAATTTGAAAAACACGAAGTCTTAACATAGTTTAAACACGAAGTTTAAACATAGTCCGATGTTTAACACGAAAATCAATCAACATCTCTTTAGTCTTGCTAATATTTAAATTTAAGTATTGAAAATTTCAATATCTTCATTAAACTCTGTAACAGAGTTATTTTTGGCATTTAGATAACCTACAATAACTGTATCATCAGCATATTTAATTATCCTAGTGCATTGAAAGTTAGGTTTACAATCATTAGTATATAAAGAAAATAATATGGGAGACAATATGCATCCCTGGGGGGCACCTGTATTTGTCCGACAACATGGTATGATTTATCCTGACAGTTTGACTCCTATTACAAAGAAAACTTCTAGTCCATTTAATAAGTTTAGGATTGACATTTAAGTCAATAAGTTTGCATGCTAACATGTGTGGTAGCATTGTATTAAAACACTAGAAAAGTCAATGAATACAATTTTAATAAAGTTACCCCCTCCACTATCAAGATGCTCATATACACCATTTAGAAGAGTTAGAACAGCGTCCTCTACTCCTCTACCTGGTCGATAGGCAAACTGAGAGTCATCAAGGACATTTTTGACATTTTCAACAAATTATATTTTTAACAATCCTTTCGAGACATTTCATAGGAACACTTGTTAAGGCAATAGGCCGTGAATCGTTCATTTCTTTTGGATTAGGTTTTTTAGCAACAGACTAGATAATTGATTTTTTCCATAAATTTGGTACATAAGATGTATCAATAGCAGTTTGAAATAGTCTTTGGAAGGGAGGGGAGAGTTCATTTGCACATTCTTTTAGGATCTTACAGGAATCACATCCGGCCCCATAGATTTACGGACACTTATGCTACGAAAAAGCCTAGTTACAACTTCGTTGTCTATCCTAATATCGTCAGAGATCTTGTTATCTATTGTTTCAAGTACATTATTCATTTCTCCAGTAAATTTATTTTTATCAAATCTACAATAGAACTTGTTGAGATCATTAACATATTTACTTTCATTAACAATGTTTAAGTCTTATAGCTTTTGCTTTGTATCCAGTAATGGTTTGCAGACTCTTCCATACTGTTCTAGAGTCATTTTCTTTGAAAGAGCCTCAATTTTTTGTTTATACTTTACATTCTTTAGTTCAAATTCTGAGAATGCCATTTCCATCTATCTTCTGGTGTTGGAGCCATGAAATTACGTACCTCAGCCCTTAAACATGCTGGGGGAAGGGTGGCCTAGACCTTTCATCTAAACATGCTGGGGGAAGGGTGGCCTAGACCTTTCATCCCTGATTTCCTCTATTTAGTATTCCTGGATGTGCCATTGAAGGGAATTTATTGTAGATAATTGTGGTAATAACAAAAGGTACTAGTGGACTTACAAAATTTGCAGGAGCATAGTACGAAGATGAAAATAATGATGATCATGTATTTTTCAGGCCTGTAGCCAGGTTCTTCGGGGGGTGGGGGAGGTTTTCTTGGTGTGGAGGTCCACAGTCGAAGCCCCAGTGTGGTCGGCGAAACCCCCAAAGCAAGATGATTTTTGTGCTTTATGGGCCTAAATAATGCTATAAAAGCAGATATGTTTTAAAATGTCTGTGTCTGGGTGGGTCTGCAGTGCATTAGTTGGGTTGGAGGACTTGCTTGGGAAATTTAAAGAGGGGGTTTCGCCAGAAAAGAGGGGGGTTTGCTAGAAAAGGGGTTCTCCCGAAACCATAAAAACCCCCCCCCCCCTGGATACTGGCCTGTTTTTTTAAGGGTACAAAACTAAATTTTATAATGATTATTTTGTATACAAATATATTCAAATATAAAATATTAGAACAAAAACATGTACTAAAAACGGTGGTCCCCCAAGTCGCAGTAGAAATCAGAACGGCCTATAACCGCACTCCTATGAGCAAGTAGAAATTGGCCAGAAACTAGGTTAGAGGTTAATTTATGCAGTAAACTAGCTATTTACTCTGAAAGTCACCAAATATGTTGGGGTCACTGAGCGCAAAAATTTACTTCAGCAAAAGCTATCCTGTTTTACAATATTTGCCAAGTTTTACTCAAGTGAAAGCCTCTAGGGTTTGGAAATTGAGGTAGTCATAAGTATTGGTTCAGGGATTCAGCCATTTGGCATGTACCCGAGTTGTGCATACTGCACGGCCTACAAAGCCAGCCCCATATATCGTAATTCGTGTCTGCTAAAGTCGCATGATATACGAACTAAAAGATGTAGATTATAGAAAAATGAATTCACATTACTATAACAAAAGTCTTACCTTGCATATTGAATTGATTATATAGATTTTTCGGTATTTATTGTGGTAATGTAACAAAATATTTCGTATAATTAAGCAGCGATTAATGTGTGCACACTTTTACTTCTTGTAGCTGAATAGAACCAGTCAATATGATAGAACCCATTCGTTATTCTTCTTGCTAAGTGACGCAAATGGTATAAAGATTGGGAATGTTCCATTGTGAATTAAATTGCCTCGATACATTTGGTATTTCTTGTATAATGCAGGTCTCCCTCCACTTAAAGACCACTTTTTGGACCAGTGTCTCCATGGTCTTTAGCAGCTTTGGTCTCTAATAAGAATAATGCAGATAAACATGTTAATTTGGATTGGAAGGGTCTTATCTTTTGTTATTGTTGATGTTTTATTGATTTGTTTATTTGATCATCGATTTGCAGTGGTGCTAGGTAATGTATAAGCCAATGTGTTTGTACTACAAACATCAGAGTATAAGCAAGTGACCAGCTATGTCTGTCCTATGATCACATCCAACATTGAATGAAAAAGAAAATGTATCTGCCTCTTGGTAACCACAACTACAACATTAGTTTTAAATACAAGAAATTAAATACTATAAGAAAGTTTATTAATAAGCAATGAAAATACTGAAATTTGCTATTAAAATGGTTGATGGTTTCAGAGACCAGATACTGATAATGGTAGACGTCTACTGGTAGACCTGTTAGTAATTTTTGGCTTTGAAAAATATGTAAATTGGGCAATTACTACTACTACGACTACCTACCGCCACTACTACTACCTGTATACTACAACAACTAAGGACAACTTAAAAACACAAAACTACAAAGTAGTGCTAGGTTTTTTCCTAATGGGTTTTTCCTTGATCTTGTTCCAACTATAAGCAAATGCAATCACAAAAACAAACACCCAAAATACTATTAATAATGCAATTCAGAGTGGGGAAATGTTTTCCTTATCGATATGTCTTGTGATTTTTTCAGAGGGGCTGGTGCTTGCATATTTTTCAGAGGATCTGGTGCTTGCATATTCAATTTCTCTTAAACACACGGTTATTTCTATTCCAGTTATAGTAGCATGAAGTTTATAATGATCCTTAAGTTCCAGTACACAAATGTATTCATCTTTTGTCCAGTGGCGGATCCAAGGTGGGGGGGGGGGTGCCCCCCCCCACAAAAAGTTTGCGCGCCCCCCCCCATTCGAAAACTTCAAAGAAAAAAAAATTAGGCTAGGCTTATGCTCAAGAAAATGGGTTAATGCTTTCCCAACTTCCCTTTATTGACATTCATCAAAACACATCAAATACTGTGTTCAAGAGATATACTTTTAACATGTCTGTCATGGTTAACATGTATTAGGGAATCTAAGAAGCAATATTTTTCAGTGGGCGTGGCCACCGAAAATAAATTCCACGCCCCCTCATAGTTGTTGCTGCAACCACACAACAAGGCATTGTTTGGTAACAAAAGACTTTCTATGGTCATTTATGTCAATACGCTATGCTATACAATACGTCATCGAGTCTGTCAAACAAAGGTCAAATTTAGGTTAACTTCGGTAGGTGGAGCTTCGAAGCCGAAACTGGCTCAAAATAAGCTATTAAAAATCGTTTTTTTAACAAAACGCAGAAATAAATTATAAAAAGCAACGAGCTATTTCTTTGTTATATACTTTATTAATTTATGATAATTTGAAGCAAAATAGTTTTCATCACCCTTGTTATTCTTCAATAAACAATTCACGTACAATTTGAGTTTCAATGTATGGTTAATTTGAGCACCCGAACTATGTAGACCTACACAAACATTTCATTACAGATCAATTTTTTAGTATCGCATCAGTGAAATAAGTGTTCATGTAAATACTGTAATCTCTAATGACTCAAGTTAATACATGACAGTTTTTATGTTTGTTATAAAACCAATTTCTTCTAATTTTAAATACATTTTCTACAAAATTTGTGATAATTCATGATCACGCATAGACTTGTGCTAAATGCATGACAAATTTACGATGTGTATTATATTTATGTCTTTTCCAGCATAATACAATGCAGTGTCATCTGCGTACATACTTACATTTACATGCTAAACAGACTGTGGTAGATCGTTGATGTAGAGGTTTTTTCTTAATCTTTTCTTTATCAAATAGCTAACATCTTAAATACTAATAATAATACAAATACTAATAATAAAAATTTGAATGGGAAATTCATTACCGGGCTTTCGGTTTTTTCAATGGGACAGGTGCTTCCATATGTGATATTTCTTAAATATGTGGTTATTTCTATTCCAGTTATAATAGCAAAAAGTTTATAATAATCTCTGAGTTCCAGTACACAAGTGTAGGATTCTTTTGGCATGTCATCTGTGATGAGTACTGTTTTATTTACCCAAATATAGGTAGGATTTTCATAAAACCTCAGTTCTTCTTCATTGATTGAGAACTTTGGATGTGGTGATGTATTCTCTGAAATACAGTAAACATTGAGTTGGTCATTTAGTTTTTCCAGTTCAAGTCTTGGATATTTTGATGATGGTATTTCAATGATGTTCAGAACTGTTTCCTGCGAAATTAGTTCACCAAGCTTAAGCTTATATTTTCCTTCATCACTGCGTTGAAGAGGGTATATTGTTAGTGAAAACTTCCTGTTGTCTTCATTGGTTCGGATATGACCATCATTTTTGTCAACAATTTGTCCATCTTTCAGCCAAGTTACTTTGTAGTTTTCTCTTTTTTTGATGTTTGTATTCAAGACATATGGTATTGTAATAGTCTTTCCTTCTGTACCATTTATATTTGTAGGCCCACTAAGAAAGGTGTCTTCAGTTAATGTGTTACCATAGATACAAGTTAAAAGGAAGCTGAATGCCAGACATTTTGATATTATACCTGTTTGTAAAAGAAAATGATGGTAATTAATAATCTAGTATGAATGTACCAGTACCCGGTATAAGCCCTTCCCACTATTTTACATCCGATTTCATGTACTAGGACAAAACCCAGGATAGAATTTGAATAAGTACTGTATCTATAAGGAGTGGCCATCCCTATAAAGTTGAAAATGTTTTTATGAACAGGATGTATTCAGTGTGTTTAACTCCACCTCCGAAATTGGCCCAATTTAATTTTTAAGAGGGAGTTCTTAATCATGTAAATCGTAGACCTGATTAATGTGGTAATAGCATGGACAGAAGGTAGTGGTACCATAGGAAGATGTATATAACTTGATGATTATACTGACGAAGAATACATTCACCATAATAAATACTTTTTTTTTTTCTTTCATATCAATAACAAAATCTTAAAACTTCTGGTTTAAAAAAACTGGTTTTTGTGGTAAAACTACTAGTTGATTGTCTCAAAGTTTCAGTGAGATTGCTCTCATCGTCATCAGTAGAATGACTGACCATATTAATATTGCAAATGGTGTACTGGAAGTCTTAGGATTTTGTTATGCAAGTTTGCATACATGCATTAAAATATGGATAAAATATTAGAACAAGAACTAAAAAAAAAAAAAAACATTAAGGGTGTATTGTGATATCTTCTAATTAGGTAGCCTTCTGTTTGAACGGTGTTCGTAGTTAAGAAACTTGAGTTTAAAGTTTCGTGTATTGTGTTGTGGATCTTGTCTGGAGACTTGATTTTTTTCAAAACTTTCAGACAATCCACTGATGGCATTTTATGTTTTAAAAGTATGTTCATCAGAAGTATATGTTAATTGAATTGATTTGTATTGCGCCTCAATAGTATAGGCTCTATGCTATACAGGACCAATCCTTGCCACGTAAGCCACATAAACCCTTTGTCACAAAATATTACTCTAATTTCACTGATTTCTACAATAGAATAACACTGTATAGAAGCAAACATTGTCAGTACTTACTGTGATGTATTAATTTTAAATGCTTTTGAAAAATACACAAATCATTTACTGATTTTTTTAAAATCATAAAATGTTTTTGCTTTTTCCATTATTGTAATTGAGATCAAATATATAAACGAACCATTGAAATAAAATTCACGCATATCTGTTTATAGCACGAAACAAAACAGGATGCTTAAAAGGCTCTCTAAACAACAGAAAGTTTAAAACAGTGCCACCAGTGAGTGAAAAGCAAGCCCCATTTTTTGTTTGTTACCCCAATCGCTAGTATGCCTGGCCTTTTGCCTATATATTTACAATATATATATTTTATTTTTTAAGTTTCAATTTTGATTTATTGGTTTAAACATTCTCTTTCTTGTCTCATTTGAAACATTTTATGTTATTTGTAGATTTTCAAATACAATTTAAATGTTTTGGTAGTTCATAACAACATCATTACCACAAAATCGTGTAAGTGAATTAGACTTGTATTTGAGAGGTTCATAATTGGGAGATGTTACAGGGTCACTAGTAGTAATGGAAATCTAGAGAAATTAGGGTACAGAGGAAAAGAGTGCCATATTCAGTGTTTTCCCTATTGAAAAAGAAAATTACTGCTAAAATTCTCCATATAAAGTCAGATAAACACACACTGTGTGGCATTAGCCCTTTCGGGAAATGTTCAATAACTTTAAAAAAAAAAAAAACCACGTACAACCGTAGCCTAGGCCTTGACTAGTAGTGTGATTTAAAGGAGGTTAGCCTAGTCTTCCTTTCAATAAAATTTTTACTGGTTAGCCTCTTTGTTTTTACCCGTAAACTTGATAACTTACACCCGCATCAGGAGAACACTGATATTGTAAAGAAACCAATCGGCTCAGGCGACTGCCTCTTTTTATATACCTGCATAAAGTCCTAAAAAGGTAATAGACCATGAGGGTCAGTCAAATTGCATGTCCACTGACATTACACCAACATATAAATTATGCAAAAATAATAAGCAGAGGTGACAGGAAAATATATCTTAATTACAAATATAACAAAAGTTAAGTCTAACCTTGCATATTGCTCTGTAGATGATACAAGTATTTTTTAGTCTGTTGGTGATACAAGTATTTGTCAGTCTATAGTTTATACAAGTATTTTTCAGTCTATAGATGCATAGAGAAAATTTCTCTATGATAGAACTCAACTCAAACTGATAATTGCAATGGATAAAAATGTTTATTCAAACAAATGAGATGTCAATTGATTCCCACATTTTAAAAGGTATGTGATTGGAGCTGAAGAAAACCGATCGATAAATGTATGAATGCAATTTAATTCCACCCTGATTTGTTTAATTAAGTTGGATTTTGGCTTTCGCAGTGATAAAACGGAAGGGCGTTTCAAATCGCACTATAAATTATTATAAATTCCTCAACAATCTTCACAATATAATTCAATGGAATAAATGGTCAATGAGTAAAAAATAAAATAATAATTTAAAAAAAAAAATGAATAAATAAAATAAAATAAAGACATATATTCATAGTAGGGAAAAAGGTGATAATCATTGCCTTTCAATTATTTAATTTTGTGTTAGTTTATAGTAGTTGCATTAGATACCAGGACCATTTTAAAAACAGTATATATATGCCTGGTATGTATATTATTACTGAATTGTTATCCTGGCTAAATAAGTTATAAATTTAAAAAAAAAATAAAAAAAAAAAGTGACAGAATGCATTTTGTTTATCGAGAAACTACCAGTTTGAGGTAAATTTCCTCAATCAATATATTTTATATATAAATTAATAGGTTATATTTTAATTTTTCATATAATAAAATGTCTTTTCCTCTATTGTTGCTCAATATTCAAGTCAGTGTAATGCTGACATGCAGTGGTATGTTAGGTCACAGTCTAGTGGGTTTTTTGTTGGTAACATGCCTCAGGCAATAAACACAATAATTCAAATTAATATATCTTTTTGGTTATTGTGGGAAATTTAAATATAAGATGACCCTGACCATTACACTTTTTAGTTATTTATTAGAGTCATAGGAAATTATATATAAATTTTAGTCAATATTCTATTTGGATTAAAACCAGGCTCCGGAGGAAAATAATTTTTCTAAGGCACAAAAAGGGTATGTGACTGGGAGAAAGGTGGAAAAGGGGGGTTATGATTTACTTTCCCCCTCCCACTTTCTTAAGTATTCAAAAATGTGTATCTTTTAAACGTTCCCGAGTTTTTCGTCATACACCTTTTTGTGTCATATATAAATCAGTTGTACAATGTATCCCAATTTTTTTCCCCCTGACAATTTGTAAGACTTTTAAGTCTTACAAATTGTTAGTGTATTTGTTCTAACTCTGACTCATTTCACGATAGCTTTTAATTCTCCTTATTTTAAAAATAGAAATAATATTGACAATAGGATTTGGTGAATAAGAAGGTATCAAATTCAAGAAAAATGAACAGGAACTTTTTTTTTGTGGGTCTGGGAATGAAAATAATGCTTGGAATTACATTCCAATTTTAATCATAATAATTAAATCTTTGTTTTTCTTTCAAAATTATACAAAAGAATACACCAAGCAAAGCAGACAGGGGAAGGCAAAGGAGTATCAATTCTTATACCCTAAAAGATTTTCTTTCTAAAGACCCAACCAAATGATTATCAAAAAAAATGTTTAAATATTTTTACATTTTTAGATGGGAAAATATGGTAGCTTACATTTACTGTATCTAAATTCATTTGAGATTTCCACAATGCTAGCATATGGCCAAGAAATTGAAAATTTGAGGAAAAACGAATGGGTAGTGTTTGCAAATCCCACCTTTCGTTAATTTTGTATAAAATGTCAATATTCTCTTTGGCTTAATATAAAATAATGGAAATATGTGTGTAACCTATTATTTATGATCAATGGTCCTTTTGACTAGGAAATAATAAAAATATATAAACCAGATTAAAATATTTGATCACTAAAAATTGTTCTGTTGATTATATTTTACACTAATGTGTGAAGGAAAATTGCAAGGACAAACATCCGCTATAATCAACCTAATTATTAGTGGAAGGAGATGAAATTTTAATTACTACCATTATTAGTTATGTTAATGATGAGAACCAGATGAATTTCTTCCATATATTATACTGCCACCACTTATATTGTCATTAATGTTTTTTTTAAGGTTACTACAAGATGTCTCTGCCAGCATTGTTGAGATGGGAGACAGATGCTCTGTTAATCAAGTATATAAAAGGTAAATATTTGAATTTATTAATTTTTAAAATTATTTTTGATGTAAATTAGTGTTCTCCTAACACTGGTTTAGCTGTCAATTTTACCGGATAATAAAACCCTGCCCCCTTCGAAATAATGAACACCATTCCAGTCTAAGCCTAAACTACAACTGTATGTGTTGTTTTTTTATCAGTTCATGTAAGTGCAAACGACTTGCGCTGTGTGCTTACCAGTAAAATTTTTCGTGGAGACTGGGATTTGTATTCGCTTGAGTGCAAGACAAAAAAATATATATTAAACATTTTTATTGAACATTATTAACATTATTATTAAACTTTATTCTTGATGAATTACACATGTAAATAATGAATGGTATAGTGTAGTGTTATTTTAATATTTATAGATGTTTATATAATATAGTACATTATTTATTGTATTTTGATTGCAATAAAGTTAATTGAGTATCAAGCTCCTGTATTTAATATCCTACTTAAAATATGTCTTGATACGAAGGGACTAATTTAACATTTGTGTATTTCCAATGAGTATAGAATACCACAGTCGTGTCGTCACAACACCAGGTGGCGCCCTCTGGACTTTGGATATTGTTCATTACACCTGAATGACTTCATAATCTTAATGGTTTAGAGTAGGCTTTCTGGAATGGGAATTTTAAAACCTAATAATTTACCATCAAAATGTACTAAAAACACAAAAAGCTCGCATTATATTAGTTATCAAACACACATTTAATCATCAACTAACATTTACAAAGAAAAATTAAGATAAACTTGGGATCAATGGTTTGTCAGTACAGAAAATGCTGTTGGTTGAACTCATTTTGTGTCTGCGATAGCAACAGAGTTGTATCACATGGTATCATGACGTAACACTGTAGTACTCTATTGGTAAGGCCAAATAAAAAAAAAGTATTGTGTTGGCCACGCCCCGACCGACCCAAAATTTTGGAAATTGAGTCGGCATTTTAGTTTTTTTTTAACATCGAAAAATATTTTTTTAATGAGCTAAAAATAGTTGGAAAAGGCCTATCTTGCGACGGTAGCCGATGCAACAGTGTTACTGTATGCAATCGTTTTGCTCTTTAACATAGATTTGAAAATGGTCTTTGTTGTATTTTTGGAAATTTGTGTATGTTCTATTTTGAAAAAGAAACATTTCCTACCGACCTACTCATTTTTTGGATTTTTCCAAAACGTGGCCAACACAAGAATTTTTTTTTATTGGCGTAATATTGACATACGGTATTTTTGGTAATACTATAGGCTCTTCAGTAAGATCATAGTTAGGATTTATGTTTGCTTGAGTTGCAAAAAAAAAATATAAAACAGTGACTAATTATTGATTAGTTACATATGACATGAATGAAGGAATTTCTTTTCAAGATAATGAGATGTTATTTTATAGACATTTGTATAAAACTTCATTGTATTGTATTTGGATTGCAATAAAGTTAATTGAGTATTTAGTTAAGTATCGTATTTATTTAAGTGTCTTATCTTTAAAGCCAGGCTCCAGAGAAATGTTTAGCTCCGATGAGCTTTAGAAGCACAGGGCTGATTGATTATCTGATTGATTAATAGATCTTATTTTATTAATAAATCTTATTATTATTATTATTATTATTATTATGGGTAGCCGTTATGGTCAGTACACTCAACTGCCTCTGTTGTACTGTCCTCATTGGAGCTTTTGAGATTACGAGAACTTGTTTTTTTATATTTCTTCCGCAGCCTGGCTTACAGCCTTTAACAAATTTGTCTCCTTTATTAAAAATAACTTTCTTGAAATGAATAATTAAAATTGATAAATGTGCTTCGTAAAATCTTAATTTATGAAAGATTAGATGAGGCTTTTCTTGTTAATTATTAAATTGGTGTGCATTAACATGGTTGAAAACAAAATTCTTTTCAGTTGCAACAGGGATCATCGTTTGGTAAGAGTAATTGCCATCAACTTAATTGTGAAGCTACAAGCTGATTATCCCAACATCTTGCAAGAACTTGCCCCTCATATGATAGACTCACTTCTCCAACGTGTAAGTGTAGCGATAAAATGGGGTTTGCCATGCCAAAACTATCATCAGTGACTAAAACAATAAAATTGACTTTTTAATGATGTTCATAATATCCACATTAAAGGCTTTAAAATGATAGTTACTGGAATGGACTTGCTATTGATAAATATATGAGTAAAAGTATTACAGCTTCTCCACTTAAGTATACAATATTATTACATTCTTATGCTATTTACTTAACATTTAGCAACTTTATGCTGGATTTGGCATGGCAAGCCTTGTATGTTTAGTATAGAAGACACCATAAAACTAGGGATAATTTCCAGTGGTTGATTCCATATCAACCACTATCATATCAAGCAGTATTTGGATTGGTGTACAGTAGGATGTCAACAGTTTTAATTGTTCCTGTTGCTTCAGCTGACTGAGCTTTGTTTAGCCAGTTAATCTGCCTCAGGATTTACTAAGTGTTTTATTGAGTGCCTACTAATTGAATGTATGAAATACATAACCAGACTGTAGAAAGGTCAAATTTGAGAGCTTTGAATAGATAAAGGTAGTTTGCAAGCAGCTACGTTTTGTCTGCCAGATGCATAAAAAAGTAGACATCCTTGAGGTCAATTATTGCAGCATAGAGTTTAGGGTATAGGCTATGAAGGATATACCGTAGATAAGTTGTCTGTGCGTGCAAGTACTGTGGTGTGATCATGTGACCTGTGTAAGAAAAAAAAACTTGTTCAGTTGCCTCAGCCTGCCACCTTGTCTATTACTTCCATTGCCCTGTTCGTACTTGCTTAACAGCTATGTTCATTTAATATCCTGTTTGTTGTAATGTATATAATAAAATGGTGGTCACTAGATACAATTACTACACATATCAATATTTATATACATATATGGTAAGTATATATGTATTATGGTACTGTATGATGTCATCCTATACTACACACATACCCATTTGGTGGTAGATCTAGGAATTCGGAGGGGGCCCAGGGAGGGACTTCACAGATGGAGTGTCTAACTTCAGCCCCACCATGGTTTTGGCTGTGGTAAGAAAATGTATGATTATGACACCCCTAGATGAATGGAAATGGGACTCTCTGACCTAAATTTTCTGACCTAAATTTGATTAAAATTTGGGGAGAGGGTGGCCATACCGACTCGGACCCTCCCTCCCCCCCTCCCCTTGAATCCACTACTACTATCTCATGGAGATACACCTCCAATATCTATTACATTTATAATTTTGTTTAATGATAGTCCTGATTATATATAATTCATGATCTGGACTTTGACATTTTGTGCACACATAATTGTGTAAACATTATTGCAATTCACTGCAAGTTTGATGAAATATCAGAGAGTTCAGAATCTAATTTATTCTGGCAGTCAAAGCAAACATTTTCTATCTGTACCACTTAAAATACTTGCATGTAGATTCCTGGTTCTATTGTGGTAACTTGGGTTTTCCCATCTAGGGTATTTCTGGCAGTTTTCATAAGGTGTGGTGCATTTCTAAAGGAAGTACATTCTTTGGATGGAGTCTGCTGGATACACTTCTGTACTGAAATGCAAACTATAGAATTTACAATTTGGAGAAGCTTGATCCGAAACAAGTGCATGGATGTGCAATCACAACAGTTAGTATATTCATAGCTTTATTTATTATTGGGTACCAAGGGCTTATCCAGCGAGCCATCTGGCTGTCTTTTCATTTCATTTCATTTCACTTTTATTGCCAAATTCCAAAAAGTATATACAAAAAGAGTACACATGGCAATAGGAGGTTAAAATAAAAGATTTCTCTTGTCAAGTTTAACCCCCTTTACAATAGTTTTTCTGGCTAAACCCCTATTGGGTTCTGTGATCAACCTTCTGTTAGGTAGTAGGAAATTGCAACAGTCAACGCAAGAACGTGCAGTACTATAGTGAAAAAGATTTAGTTTCAAATATATCTTTCATTGTGAGTTGGTTTGCAATACTGAATATGATAAACATTGTAGAAGTAACTGATGGATTCTAGGCTGAGAATGGTTCTTTCTTTGAAAGTGGGGTATATAAAGCAGGCTTTTTTACTAGTTTTCTTAATGGACATACACTGAGATAAAAAGAGCCCGCCGTCAATGCCAAATCATTTAAATTCAATGGCACCTTAAGAGTTAAAGCAGTGGCTTCAGTACAGTCTTGTTACTAGGGACCTTATTGTCACACCTGCTAAATAGGCACTAGGCAGCAAACAATTTATCTAGCAATAAAATCATGTTTGTTTACCTGATATTGACCTCTGAACTGTTGCCATATTTATCATTTATCATATCTAGCGAGGTATGTTACACAAAAACTCAAATTGGTTGGATGTCTACCATTTTGATGGTACAAAATCTACCAAATTTTACAACATGCCCTCACATGCCGCCAAATTGAATCCCGCCATATTGATATAGGAATTAAAGATGTGCATAAAACAAGTCACAAGCAATATACAGAACCAGAGTTTTTAAAAAAAATCAGGTTTTGCTTTTATTCCAAGAATGTAGGGAACAATTAAAGCATGAGAGTACTAATTGCCCTCACATGCCGCCAACTTGAATCCTGTCATATTGATATAGGAATTAAAGATGTACATAAAACAAGTCACAACGAATATACAGATCCAGAGTTTATAAAAATCAGGTTTTGCTTTATTCCAAGAATGTAGGGCTCTCACATGCCAACAACATATATCCCATCATATTATTATAGGAGTTAAAGACATAGCATAAAACAAGTCACAAGCAATATGTAGGTCTTTATTCCATTTATATTTAGTATTCACTCAAGCACCAGGTCTCCAACAGTCAAATCAACTGCTATGGAAAACATTGAAATGTCATAGCTTTCTGCATCATCATCATAGTTTTCTTCACTTCCCCAGTATTCAATTCAGTACACCGATCTTCCTTTCAGAAATTTCTTAATCCTGCCTTAGTACACCTCTAACTGACAGGTCTCCGAATCAAACCAAATGTGCTGTAGAAATCCTGTAATGTTGCCTGACAGGATCATTTTAAGCTGATCTTCATACACCTTCAAAGCCCCTTTGCTTTGAGTTCTCTCTCCAGTTTTTTCCTTTCGGCATCATTCTGTTGTTGTTTTTTGTCCTCAATTCTTTTAACAATTTCTTCTTCAACTTCCGTTGTTGTTTTCTTACTACTTTTCTGTTGGCTTCGTCCAATACCAATCGCTACATTTATTAGATCATTCCTTGTCTTATCATCCAAGGATTGCAGAAATATGGTGGTTTTGTTTTTCCTGGCTTTAATTCCACAGGATATGAAATCGATGGTGGCATTTGGCTCCGTGGTTTTCCTAGCAGAAAACATGCCCATCATCTGTTCTGCTCCTATGTTGTGAAGCCTAGCCGACTCAGTGCGTTCCTTTAGTTCGTCGGTTATGTGGATGTTGAAATATGTCTCAAATTGGCGGCTGATGACTTTTCCTGTAGCATCCAGGCAACTCTTCATCATGAAATCGAACAATTCAGGATCAGTTGGTTTGATCTGCAACTTACTCCCTCCCACCAACTGATCCCCAAAGCAATTGACATTTGTAGTTAGAGTGAAGCTGGATTAGATGATGCATAAGACTTTAACTTAACTCCTGTATGAATTTTAAAACAACATGACCATTGAGCAAGTCTAGCATCTGCAGGAATCTCTGGATAACGTTCTTCAAGCAACATATGACATTTGCCTTGTGGTGCTGGCGGTGAAACCTTGCGCTTCTTATTTGGTGGCATTTTATAACAATATCTGCCAAAATAATTTTAAATTAATTTGAACAATAATAATAAAAACAATAGCAACAATAATAACAATAGCAACAACAATAATAATAAGAATAACAATAGTAATATCAATAATAATAATAATAATAATAATAATAATAATAATAGTAATAACAGCAATAACAATAATAATAATAATAATAATAATAATAATAATAAAATAATATTGATATTGTCATGGTGAAATGCATTGATTAATTAAATTAAAATACTTTAAAAAAATGTTTAATTAAAATAATATTAAAAATAAAATGTACATTCTGTCTCTACAGGAATTTACTTTACTTACCTAAAAACAGTCTTAATAGTTAATAAAGTGATATATTTGCCAGATGCAATTGCAAAACAGTAGTATTCTAGAAAAAAAATAAAGAAATTAATTGTGAATTCATGAAAACAAGCAGGAACAGGACAATAGAGAATAATGACATCATACTAGAAAATCAGCCAATCAGAATGTGTTATTTAGTGATGATCCTACCAACATTCAATCAGATCACTAGATAGCGGTCATGTGATCGTAAACTAACAGTAAACACAGCAATCTTAACATTTTATACAAAATTTTAATCTCCTAACATCACCAAAATTCATTCGATATTTGTTATAAAAACTGATTACAATTTATCTATAAAACTCATATTATCAATTTAAGTCTCATATATGTAGTTTTAGTCGCTAAAATTCTATCGTGATTCTAACCTGGGCCTAGGCCTAGAGATGGTATATAGACGATCGTCAGACGCCATTATTACCATGCGACAGTGAATGTATAGCAGATTTCCACCAAAAAATAAGTATCTGCGCATGCAACTGATGTCTTCATATTTGGTCAAAATGGTATTTACTTATATCTATCTAACTCAAGATTATAATCTTAAAAATCAAGCACTTACCATTCGTCTAAAAAAGTCGATTTTATTCGAGCATACATTTGGGACATCAGCTGCAGTGCAAATATAAAGATGACGACAAAAACAAAAGCGTGACCTTTGTTTCAACTTAATCTGCATAATATAGCATGACATCACCGATATCCAATCAGAAACGCATATTTAACGATTTTTTTAATAACCCCACTCCTGTCAAGCAGTGCTAGTCCACCGCTGAACGAGTGACCGAGATTAATTAGAATGACGTCACGGTTTGTAACGTACCTATTCTAGCCCATCGAGCCTAGCATAGTATTAAATTCACTAATAATTAAATATGGCTGTGTGTGTGTTTCTTGTGCTGTGGAGTTTTTTCATTCTTTAATTCACCAAGGTAAGCCATGCGGATTGTAACTTATTGGTATTTAACTTCCTTTCGTAGGAAAAGGGAAAAAAAACCCTATGTATACAATCAAAATATAGTAAGCTAACAAATCTTGATTTAAATGGCAAAATCAGCTTATTTCAACAGCCTTTTGAAATCCTCTCTCCATAAAGTTATGTGCTCCAATTATAAAGTAAATTTTAGAGTAGACATAATTGTCTGATCCTAATATTATTATTTAAAATATAACGATATGTTTTACCAAAAATCTGACTTCAGTTTATAACAAAATTAATAAAGACGGATAGTACGTACATAGCGTAGGCCCTAGGCCTGTGTGTGTGTTTACAAAATTTGATCTTACTTCGCGATAAAATCATCTGGGATAAACTCCGTTTCTGAATCTTTCAGTTGATTTATTGCAGAGTTTCACCTATTCTGTAGATGATGCAAATTACGGACATCCATGGTTCTTTAAACCGCGGGAACAGAGTGTAGCGTGAGCATATGCAGTGCCGATAAATTACACAAAAATCTATGAAAGAAGGAATGTGATTGGCTAAAAGTCTAACAGTGTTTTCAGAACGGTGCTTTTATTATGGCCCTTTTGGCGCTGTTTCAAGCTTGTGACTGGTTAAAATTAAACAACGAAATAGAGTTAAAATAAAAATAACTCCGCTTTTATTATGGCCTTTCTGGACGCCGCTTTTATTTTGTTTCAAGCTTGTGATTTGTTAAAATAACAACAACAGCAGCATTGAAACAAGTTAAAATAAAACTAACACTGTTTTCATTGTAACCTTTTTGGCCAATCTTTATAATTACAGCGTTTTTTAATAAAAGTTAACTGCACCTTTAATATGGCAATTTCAGTGCTGTTAATAGCTTGTGATTGGTTGGAATTGAACAACGCAACAGCGTTGAAAAAAAGACCACAGCATTCTGTTGTTGTTTGATGACTAACCAGGTTCTGTTACACCATCTAGGTGCATCAATATTTTGTAAAATCATGATATGAACTCCTTTCTTTAATGCATGATTATGCAGGGCAGCTCTTTTGACTGCGTGTACATTTGTTATGACTAATTTCAGTAAAAATCTATTTTGATGACAAATAATTCAAAGTAAATATTTGAAACGAAATTCGCAGACTGATATGGCCATTTTGAGATGCTTGTCTAGCCAAAGCTGGCATTTTATAAAGTTGCTTTCTTGTTAGTATGTTTAGGCCTTAGCCTAGCATTTAGTATCAAAATCATGGATTTTTAGTACTTCTTGAAATACAGCACATTTAATTTGAAATCTGGAGAGAACATCTTTGATGTTGGTAAAGTAAGTACAGCTAGTCCAGATGTGGTTCTAGTCCAGTCCTTATAAGGACTGGACTAGAACATCTACTAAGGCATCTACTAAAGCACCTCTTTCTAAAAGAAATCTGCAGACCTTAATATGGCCGTCTTGAGATGCTGTAATTAGCACCGTGTTGCTGTATCAGCAAGCTGACGATAACCTTTAGAACTATTTTGTGCATTCAATCAAAGTACTGTATCAGCAACC